GAACTAGAGAAAACAATCCAAAAATTCATTTGGAAGCAGAAGAAACCTAGAATAGCAAAAGCAATTCTAGGCAACAGAGACATGGCAGGGGGTATCACAGTCCCCAACTTGAAAGTATACTACAAAGCTGCTGTGATAAAAACAGCATGGTACTGGCAAAGAAACAGACCTGAAGATCAGTGGAATAGATTAGAAGATGCAGAAACCTACTGGCATTTTAATGTTTGTCTCCTAGCTTTAAAAATAAAAACATTCTGTAACTCACTTCTTCTGGTTACTGTCCGTCTCCACCCTCATGCACAGACTGCTGAAGAACATTTTCTGTTTAATATCTTTGCTTACCATTTATTCTTCAGTCTTCTCCAGTGTGGCTTCTCTCCCCATGTTCACAGCTGTGTTAGTAACTCCAGATGTTCATCCCGGCCGCTCAGAGTATTTGTGAGGTCACCAAAGCCACCCTTGGCCCTTGCTCTTCTGACTCCTGCCATTCCACACTCTTGATATTGGTTGCCTTGTAACTCTTCCTTCTTGATGTGTCTGTCTTTCACTTCTATCATTTGGAATCCCGCAGGGCTCTTGTTGGAGGTTGTCCTCTTTTCCTTTTCACTTTTTAAATTTTAGTGAGATTTAGGCTTTAATCTTAGCCATATTAGAAATGGTGATGAAACTTAAATGAAAGTTGAAAGTTGTAACTTTTGTTTTTGTGAAAATGGTTTGTATAATTACAATACATTTTTAAGCATCATAGAGACATACAAACAAGTAGTAAAAAAATTTTGGCCAGAGGTTCCAATGCTTGCCTCACAAGTGCAAGGTCCTGAGTTTGATCCCTGGTACTCCCCCGCAAAAAAATTTTGGCCAGTAACACCACCAAAAGATAAACACCGCTAACATTTGGTGAGGGTTCTTCTAGACATCTTTTCAAAAATAATAATTCTAGCTAATATCTAGGGAACCTTAATATGTGCCAGAGCTATGTGACAGTACTCTAACTCCTTACAGCTTCCCTTGAGAGAGTTACGGTTGGCACTATTTCACAGATGTCGCAGAGAGGGACGGAAGGAACTTGCCCAGAGCCCTGCAGGTAGTAAATGGAGCTCTTGGAATCTGGTGAACTCAAAGTGAAGTCAGACATAAGGCATGCCCTCCCTCCTCTCAGCATCGTGCTTTCTGAGTCTTCCCAACGAGGAGGTCGGGTGAGGAGTGGGAGCTACCTGCTCTCTGAGCTCTCAGCACTGGGGCCTGAGTCCCTGGGCAGTGGTGTGTTAGCACAGATCCTGAACCCTGTCGCATTCCGACAGTGTCACCAGCATTCATGTCTACCCATTCAGTGTATGACAATGATGACCAGCTCCTGTGGGACCCTGAGTACTTACCAGAAGACAAAGTGATCGTGTTTCTTAAGGATGCATCCAGAAGAACAGGTGACGAGAAAGGTGTAGAAGCAATTCCTGAAGGGTCTCACATAAAAGACAACGAACAGGTGCGTAAGAGGCATCCGTTAGCATTTTCCTCAGATAAAATAAGCATACACATTTATAAATAAATGTCAGTGTTGTCACTTGCAGTGTAATTATTCTGTCCACCAAAATTACTAAAATGTTAACAGAATCTGAGGTTATAATCAGTGTAAGATACTCACTGTTACCACACTACTTCATCACTATGATTTTAGAGCAGATAAACAAAAATCTTGGTGTTCTCTTTCCTGTCCTTGAGAGCATGTGCCTGTTGTCAGGCTGGGAAACTCGTGGGAGCTAATGTTGCTGTGTGCACGGTAAGTCCGGAGCCCGACACGAGCCCAGCAATCAGCACCTGAAAACCTTTTCTGTCCTAGCGTTTATATAAAAAGATACAGATTTTTATTTCTAGATTCTTCAGACACTGTGACCACCAAGTTTGAGTGTTTACACATTCTACCTTGTACAAGTTCAGGGGCGTTAAATACCACAGTTGAATTGATATTTTTCCTTGGTGTTTTTTTATATTGTATTCACTAAAAATGTCACACACACCCCACAAAAGAATGAAAACAAACACAAGATTCTGAAAAAAACTTTTAAATTGTAGCTTTAAGTTGGACTGCTCATAGTCTGGATCATACATGGAAGCCTTTTATTTTTTCTAGGCTTTATATGAATTGGTTAAGTGCAGTTTTGATACAGAAGAAGCATTGAGAAGGTTACGATTTAATGTAAAAGCAGCTAGAGGTAAGCATAAATGTTAAGTTTTTATTTGCTTTCATGATTTGGCAGAAATACAAAAATTAAGCTCTTAAGTTTAATAAGCTTAATTTCTGAATTAGTATTTGCAGAACATGAGTATTCTACAAGGCATAATGAGGAATGAGAGTAAGGCTGCCCCTTCCTTCTTTATGGGAAAATAAGGCCATTTAAATGAAGATATAAAAAGGCATAATACCTTAAAATTTCCAAGTATGTTTATAAAGATTTTCCTGTTTGATCTTGGCAATATACCTGTGAGCTACAATATGACAGATGTTGCCTGCACTTTAAAATTGTGAGAATTAGGCCTGTGTACTTGGTAAGTTGGCCGAGCCAGGTATAATTCGTAAATAAGCCAGAACTAAAATACTGGTTTTTCCTTTTCTACTCTAAAGCTGGCTCCCACCTCACCTTGTTCAGAGTTCAGTTTGTATATAATTAAGAAATAAGTAAGAGTTGGTTTTTTTGCTTAGTTTTTGTTTTTGTTTGATGGTACTGGGGATCGAACTCAGGACCTTGTGCTTGCGAAGCAGGCACACGCGGCACCACTGAGCTACATCCCCAGCCCTGTAAGTGAGAGATTCTGATTAATTCAACAGCGTGAAGGCCTCCTAAGTTCTGAGGGCCTAAGTGTAAACCAGGCCCCTGCCTGCAGGATGCCAGGGCAGAGAGGGTGAGAGACAATTACGCCGCTTCCTTCCTGGGAGAGCAGGAGCTGTTGCAGCTGGAGGACGTGAGCCTGGGGTTTGGGGGAAGCTTCCAGAACAAAGTGACATGTTTCCTGGGATCGATGGGAAGCAGGAAGTCTAGGCAAAGGGGTGCCACACACTGTGTGTGAAGTAGGAAAGAGCTTAGAAAACTTACAGAGCTGAAGGGCCTAATGGAGTGGAGTCATGAATGAGGGAGAAAGTGGCCCAGGTTGAGGCCAGAGTAGGGGCCAGATCAGTCAGAATTTTATGAAATGAGCATTTCTCGTTGCTTTGTCTTTTGCAGTGATGATGAGTGTTAGTCCTCAAAGTAAAATGTTTCCCTCGTTTCTTACCAGAAAGTCACATTTTCATTTGCAGTTCTGTTTGATATGTGCAGCGTTGGGGGAATATTACTTAACAGTTTCTCCCCCCTCGTTTTGTCAGAGGAATTGTCTGTTTGGACAGAGGAAGAGTGTAGAAATTTTGAACAAGGGCTGAAGGCCTATGGAAAAGATTTTCATTTGATTCAGGCTAATAAAGTAAGTAATGATATATGTTCGTTTTATGAAAAATTTAATAACCCAAACTGACCTTTTTATCTGCTCTACTTTCTGTTAAAAGTTTCTATAATGAATATTATAATCTTAGGGACATAGCTAATTATTAATAGTAATAATGCCTAGGCAACTTTGTGACTTAGACCTTGTCTCAAACATTTAAAAAGGGCTGGGGATGTAGTTCATTGCAAAAGCCCTGGGTTCATTCCTCACTGGCACAAACAAAATAACAATCATTTACAAATACATTAATCAACGCCTGGTTGGAGTGTAGAATACAATACTTAAAGCTGTTTTCTGTCTGTGACCAATACTTTAAGGAGGGTCTTAAAATAATTTTGAAATTTTAAAGCACTTTTAACATGAAAGTTTTTAGAATTTAGGTTAAGCCACATTGTTTTTTGTTTGTTTGCCTTTAAAGTCCTGAGATTGAACCTAGAAGTTTGTGCATGCTATCCGAGCACCTTGTGAACTTTGTTGTTTTGAGACAGGGTCTACACTGCTCACTTTAGGCTCAAGCTTGCAGTCTTCTTGCCTCCTCCTACAGGCTGGCTAGGTTTACTGGCATGTACCATTGCTTGGTTTAAAAGCACATGCTTAAGATTTAACTTTGTAGGCACAGCAATAGGTTGGCTTTGTTACGAATTACTGCAGTTGTCATAAATTCAGAATTGTATTTAACTTGATCAGTAGTCATTCCATATTGGTAAGATCAACCATACAGTGCTTATCCCCAAAGAACTTCATAATTACTTACAGATTTGTTTGGGGATTTAATTCTGAGAACTCCATTCAGGTAGGATTTTTAATAGTAACTACCCAGTTTATAGAATAGGGAAATGAGTTGGTCTGTACAAGATTAAGAGAGATGAAATTAAGGTCTCAGTGCTTGAATATAGGAAATTTATTCCTAGGCTTTTGAACATCACGTTATTTTTATTGAATGAAAGGAGCTCAGCTTCACATATTTCCTTAAGGATGGCTTCTAGGTGTTGTGCAGTAGCTTACGCAGGACTGTGTCCATAGTGCTGGGGCTTGGGTCTGAAAGTCTTTTGCCTTAACCCCTGTGTGTGTATGGCTGTTTACTGAGCCCAAGGCCTTACTCCTGCTAGGCAGAAGCTCTGCTCACGAGCTACACCCAGCCACTCTTCTCTTTACTTCTGGCTGTGATTGAGTGCTGTCCATCTCAGCATGTATTTAACATGAGTTCATGCTTACTAAATAAGGGCTACTTTAATCCTGTGAGTTCATTTGTCTTTCTTTTTGTGCATTAACTAATTCATTCTTAATTATCTTTTTGTATTTTGGTAATTGACATTGGACATGACTAATGAATGAGAAATTTTGAGTCTTACCATTTAGGGTAACTTAGAAAGCATAATTGCTATTGAAATGTATAGCCCTAATGTGTCCAAATCATCTAATAATGTCAAATATAGTCAACACTAGGAAAAGACTATTTTATGCTAACGACTATTTATCTTTCTGATTTTTTAAATCCCACATTTCATGGTTGAAAGGATCATTTTTATAATATTTTTATAGCATTAGCATTCTTGCTTGAATTCACATGCCACTGACCCTGACCAACCAAGCCTGATTCCCGTGGAGAGCACCCTAGGATGATGGCTGATCTGGTCAGCAGAAGCAGCAGCCCTGCTTCTTTGTAAGCCCAAAGAACTTACTACGTGGCCTCGAGCTATGAGCCAAAAATGTCTTACTAAAAATACGACCTTGGTTGCTTTATAAATGTGTATTTGGAGGATGGTCTTTTAATGTCACAGGGTAGGCAGCATCTGACCTAGATGTAATCACACTAGTTGCTGTAGTGAACAAAGGGAGGACGGTAGTCTATGGAGGGAGAAAAAAATGTTTCAGTGAGAAAACATCAAGGAATTGGAATTTTACACTTGGAATTAAAATTCAGAGTTTTATTGGAGATGTCCTACAATGCAAACTTTGCATGTGCCAAAAAGTCTTCATCTTTTACTTTCAGTACAGTACAGTTGATTTGTCTTAAATCTGTCTAGAAGTGAGATTCTGTAGGAAGTCGGAAGCTTGAGAGGATTTTTTTTAAAGCCCCAGTTATTTTCAGACTCAAAGCAAAACTGGGTCATAGTCATAAAGTGCAAGTAGCAGAGGAACGTGGCTTTGTGTGTGTGTGTGTGGATTGGGTAGGAAAGGGCATCGCCACAGTTTTCCTGCCTCAGCATCCAAAATTTGTTACAGTAGTATTATCTTGCATCCAGAGGATTGGTTGAGGTATCCTTTTTTCTTTTAAAGCCCTAGTATTTTATTCAGGCACGTCAATTCTTCCGACTTTCCAAACTCAGTGGCAAAAAGGAAGGGGGTCTTAGTAGCATCATTTGTAATTCCCATGACTGTTGGACACTGAGGAGATCCGTTCACCTGCACAGATGGGGGCAGCACGCCAAGCCACAGGAGTGAGTTAGGAACCAAAGCCTGAGCGTCATCGAGAATGCTTTAACATTCCTGTGGTGCATTCTGAGGCGCTCGGAAAGTAAATTACGGAAGTCTGATTGCTGTTGGGAGTGAGAGAATCTTCTGAGAGAATTTAAAGGCGGAGTCCTAGGTGCTTTGTGAGAGTGTATGCAAACTATAATATTCATCTTAGCCTACATGCCACTCGCAGATACTTTCAGTAGAGGGGGGTTTATTTTACAGTAAATTATTAGTACAACAGAAAGTTCAGTGTCTGAAGACCCATTGCCTCTGCATTATTTCTCTTAGCAGTTTAGAAAGAAGAGTTTCCAACACTGTTGCTGCAATGTTGTGTTTGATACGTACAATTGTATGTCGGTTAAGGAGGAGCTAGTTTGTTTGTTTGTTTGTTTGTTTGTTTGTTTCAGACTTCAGATGTTTTTCATGAAATCACTCCACTCAGGGAGAAATGATTGGTAAAAACACCATTTCTTTTTCATAGGTCCGAACAAGATCAGTTGGGGAATGTGTAGCATTCTATTATATGTGGAAAAAATCTGAACGCTATGATTTCTTTGCTCAGCAAACGCGATTTGGAAAAAAGAAATACAACCTTCATCCTGGTGTAACGTGAGTTGATGTTTTTCCCTTAGAACTATTTTATTGCTAAAAGAGCTTTTCTAGATTTTTCTTAGGAGAACTATGGCTTTTAGAATCTTGCTTTTGTAATAAATTTACATTTGTTCATCATCAGTTGCAGCTCTTCAAAAAAATTCAGAATTTTCAGTGTCATAAGATTGTAGACCACAGTTCATATTATTTGAGACAATAAACATATCATTAAAGCAAAGTTTAGAGTGTGCTTTCAGTAGGAGCCCCTGGAAGAAATGGATCAGAACACCTGGCACATCTAGTCTCTTTAATAACTTGAAAGCAGTCAGAATAGGGAAGAAGAGGGATTCTTCTAAAGCTAAAGGGCCATATGACCAATAGGCCCTGCAGTGTTGAAGGGAAATTAATATTTTTTCTTGTCCCGTCTGTTTTGATCCCAGGAACCAAAATAAGATTTGAATACAGTTGTTATAAAAAGGAAAAAAACATAGAAATACAATAAATGAGGTCAAACTACATCTTCTTGTTATATTTTGTAGAGGGAAGAATGTGTATATGGTAGCTTCCCTTTTCCTAGCAGTCCTGAGTCTTTCCTGCTGACAAATACTATGTAATCAGTAATGCAACTCCACCTTTTTCCCAGCAACAGATAGGTATTGTATCCACTCTCTCCAGGTGTCTTATATGCCTCATCCCAAATCCATGCCTCAGAGTCTCCTATCCTCCTTCACGCTTACTTTGGAATAGGACATTCTCTCACCCCTGGTAATCTGTTACTTAAATATAGCGAGCATCGAAACTTTGTCTCACATGAATTATTGAACATTTTGATGAACTATTATCCTGGAAGGAACTGTACAATACAATCCTCAAATATTCCCTGATGTTTACAGAATAAAAGTGACGCAAAGCTGTGTCTTGATGTCATCAGTGTGGCCCGGTACACATGTCCTCAGGCTGGCCTGGCCACATTATGGCTTTAAAGCTGTGCTGGTTACCTCTGTGTGGTTGTGCTTCTCGGGCTCCTGGGTATACTGCTACTCCCATCACTCACATTTAGACATAGATGTCTTTGCTACTCGCTTCCTTGGAAAATTCAGATGTTCTAAAACCCAAAGCAAAAGAGTCAAAGGAGGAGTAGATAAGTATAATTGATCCTTGGCAAGGATGAGCCAGTGGACTGCATGCCTCATCCCACTTATTCAGAGTTGGTGATCACTAGAGTAGCATCGAAGATAGAACAGCATGCACGTTTTATATAATTGCCTGGTGTTATTAAAGTTACAAGATTTTTTGTGGATTATTCATTGGTAATATTAAAGCATAATGGTACGGAATTAGATACAGCTATCCAGTCTGCACCGTATATCTTAAAATAGCCACAGTTTTCAAACTATTCTGTATGGAAAAGGAGTAGTAACAGCTTTCATTCTTTTCACCCTTTTCAGAAGTAATGTTCACACATGAAGTACACAGTCTGTCGTCCTCGGCAGTAGGAACATAAGATTGCCATGCTGGGGCAGACCCAGGCTCACCCAGGTTTCTCTTTCAGAAGGCATCACCAAGGGAGGTGCTGTGGGCTGGCTTAGTTGGACCTCTGTGGTGTTGAGCTCAGCAGTTAGGAGCGGTGTGCCCCGACACCCCGATTTCCTCTGTATCTCTAGAGTGACTCCTGCCTGCAAGCCTGATTCCTTGTAAAGTTAAGCATCCCACAGACTGAGTAACCACAGTTCAGAGTAACCTTGCCTCCTCTTCTCAGACGTGGAGTTCACAGCGGTCCCCCTTTGTACACTGGTGTGAAATGAACAGACATGGTTTTTCCCTTGGGCAGGGTTGCCTTGATTCCGTGGGCCTCAGTTGAGTCCCCTGTGGGTCCTTTAGAAAGCCTATTTTGTCTGAGATCATTGCTTTTCTGTTACGTCTTCTTTAAAAAGCAGTGAACAGACTCTGCATTATTTTTCATACAGCAAGAAATTACGGTTTTCTGTAAGCAGAGAGACTGGTCTGGCTTGTTTCCATTTTCAGCTAACAGTTGTTTTTGAAGTGAAACTGTTGTCTTCCAGTTGTTCACCAGAATGAAGTGTACTTTTTTAGCCACCTGTTTTTTATTTTTGGTCTACAAACAGCCTTCGCCTGATCCTACTACAGATTTTCCCTACGTACTGCCGGGAAGAATTGAGAGCCATATGCAACTTAAAGATTTCACTATAAAATATTCAGTCTTCCAAATAATTTTTTTATGTAAAAATTAACTCAGCACAGCCCAGTTACCTGAATGTACTCCAACCTTGTCTGTGTGGCTCATCTTTGTCCTTTCCTGAGCAGTCTGGATTTTGTTTATCTTTCAAAAATGATGATAATTATTCTTACATAGTATTGCTGCCATATTCAGAAATTTAAAACCATTTTGATATCTCATCAACTCTGGCTCCTTTGCTTGGCTTATAACACCCTCCGTGACTCATGCCCACTGAGCCGTGTTTCCAGCCATTGCTCACCGCGCCTTCTGTCTGTAGCCTTAGCTTCTGCCGTTCCTTCGGGATCATCATTCTCACTGCTGTTTCTGTGCACTTCACATTGGTTCTAATCATGATGAACAGCGTAGCACTGAAGCACTCTTAAAAGCTATTGGGTTGAATTCCCACTGTTTATAGAGGGTGAAAATGATGCCCCACATGTTAAGCTGGCTCACTCGTCTGTGTCTCTGTGCCAAGTGTGAGTTTTATACCTCAGACCATTTGAAGCTGCTTGGGGTCTGATGTCATAACCCTGTCTATACATCCCCATAACCCCAACAACAGTGGTGGTCGCGCAGATGGAAGTTACGGCTGCCAGTCTGAGTATGTTGTGCACCGTTAGCGCAGACTTTCAGCTTCCACTTTTTATTATGTTCTCTTACCCTGCTTTCAAGGTACTAAGAGTTCATATTCATCTTTCTGCTATACTATTCAGAAAGAATTTTAAAGTAGGTAATATGTGTAGGTGTTGAGCTTCTGTTCTGTCCGTGTACACCTTCGGCACCAGTGATGCGATGTCACATAGAACAGACTCGTGAGGATGCCTTCTTGCATGGGTGTTGGCAACTTTTTGTGTGGAGGTGGAGAGGAAATATTTTGGGTTCTTCTGGCCTTACGGTCTCTGTTACAGCTACCTAGGTCTGTTGTCACTGCACAAGAAGTCATAGACACCATCACATGTAGCTGTGTTGCGAAGCTTTACGAAACGGGACCACTACACAGGCCACAGTTTGCCGACCTTTATTCTAGGGATTCAGGAGCACTTTGTAGTTTACAGAACATTTCATACACACACCTAATGCTAGTCCCATCTGGTAAGTAGGATAGAAATCATTGATCTGCATTTCACAGGTAAAGGCACAGACCTTACAGAGACAAGTGTTTAGCTCAGTTCTAAACCCTAACACAGCCTGACACGGTCACTTACCACAGCCACTAGACAGGAAGGAGTAAGTTCGCTGTAATGAGATACTGATGGGATAAAGCCGGCAGATAAGCTCACTGGCAGACAAGGTCCTCTGGACAGTTTGGGGGGACAGTCCTCTGACCAGACCCCATTTGTCTTTCAGGTACTGCTTTAGGGGCCTTAAAATCCAACCCGCCTCTTTTCTGAAATGATTTGGTACTCCTGGTGATACTGCTCCCTCTCTTCACTTACACATACTCCAGTTTCGTGTGGGCTTCTCTGAGCACAAATGGAAAAGCTTTAAGCTTCCAGCGGGTCTTTAAAACTTGCCAATTTAAAGACTTTACGTTTCCCTACAAACATGTAACCAAAAAGAACTGGCCTTAAATGTGTAAGCCCTGGCCCGGTAAATCAGGCACTGGAGTGAATGGAAGTGAAGCTTAGGATGTACAGTGTTTGTGAGGAAGATTTGGAAATTTAAAACCTCAGCTTTGCGGTGCTCAGTTTCTCTGAGTAGAAGGAAGTAACGGCGTTCCCGTTGGTGGCAGGGACTACATGGACCGCCTTCTGGACGAGAGTGAGAGCACCGCTTCCAGCCGTGCTCCGTCCCCACCCCCAGCCGCCTCCAGCAGCAGCAACGGCCAGTCTGAGAGGGAGGACAGCGCCACGGGCACCCAGAACGGTGAGCAGGCGGGCGGGCCAGCGAGCAGGACCAGGACCAGGGGCTGGTGGGAGGCCAGGGCACGCACTCAGCGTGCTCAGGAGACGCGTCTGGTCTCTCAGTGGCGATTGCTTCTTTTAAGGAGACCGTCTCAGTGGCACCGCTTTCCTTACCTGGTTGGGATGGTGCTGTAACTTCTACACCAAAACTGCAGCCAGTGCATGGGGATGTGCCCATTTACGGATACCTTGAGAGCTTCTAACACGTCGGTGCTTTGATTCATTCACGACAGGGCTGGGATTCGTAAGTCTCAGCACCAGGTGGCTCTGAACCACCTGTGGTACATGTGGGACTGCCATCACGTGGTAGGGGACAGTCATGCATGTACCGCCAGTGGTTGAGCGTGGCTAGGAATGTGTTAAGTGTACAGTTAAAAAGAAATGCACAACATGGGCACTGCTTTGAATATTGGCATTGTCTTTGATAGGAACATAACCTTGGATGAGAAAGGATGAAGCAGGTATCAGCCTGCTGCAGAAGCATGCACATATTTATTTCCGTGAAAAAGAAAAGCAAAAGCCACACCAGTGTGCTTAGGGTTCACATAGTGTTCTTGTTCAAAATACACAGGGAATCGGAGGTCGCTGTGCTGATCAGCAAGAACAAGTAAGAGGTATTTTGACTTGCACCTGATGGAAATGGCTGTCGTAAGCTAGAAGGCTTTGGAAGGGCTGGTGGAGAGCTGTGTTGCCCCACCACCCGCCGGCTCAGGGAAACACAGCTTTGGCCCTTGCTCTGGCCTCCGATCCCACGTGGCATTGGTACAAGGAGGTGGCCAACCCTCGGAGCCAATGCTGTGTCCTGGTCTGGGTGCTGTTGGCCTGTCAGCCGGTACCCACCACAGCCGTCCTGAGGTCCATAAAGATGCAGAGAGGCAGCTTCCGCATTACAGTTATAATGTTCTGTCTTTCTGTTCGTCCCTAACATTTTAATACCAAACACGGCCTTTCCCTTTTTTAGCAGTTTGATGAGAACATGCAGAAGAGTATATAAGTTAACTAAATTATAAATGTCTCAGTAGCTCAGAGACCATTCACATCAGGTAAGTGAGATCAAGATTTTGTTTTCAAAGAAAAGATGAAGCTTTCCAGCCCACTTTTCTTTCTCTTCTCAAGGACTTTAATTAGTGCCTTGAAACATTAGAGCTATTTTTTCACCTATCAGTCTGACCTAGTGTTTTGGACTTGCTGCTACCTACTTGTTCTTCGGTGGCACACGACAGATTAACCCCACCTGCACACATGGCTTGAGTGCATTTGACCAAAATGTGTATTTGAGCCTCATCCTTTAAGAGCTGTGTATTTTCAGGTAATTAAAATTTCATTTTCTCCAGGGGTGTACATCCTGTATTTTACTTCCTGTCCCCAAAAGTTGTATTACATTTTGCAGTCAACTTTAAAATGATGTTTCTGTTGTTACTTGGTTTTGCTAGAATAATAATGGATTTACTTTTCTTAGTGATTATAGGGAAATGTGAATTTACTACCATGTTCAATGTATGTTTGGGCACTATAGCATTAATGTTTTGCCATTGTGGCAGATTACTGAGTCCACTTAAATAACAATGTGTGATCTTTTAAAGCACAAATCCATAGATTTACATTATGAATAAAGTCATGGCATCATCTTGATTTTATATGGCAATATAAAACTTAAGGTTCCATAGTAAAGAACACTGACTTTGTTTTATGTGGTTTTGGAAGGCACAGTAGTCTGGCTAAACCCAAAGCCCTCCTTGCCTCTTACTTCTCAGTTCGGCTTGCTTGGACTGGTGGGCCCAGCGCCTCTTTGTGGTCACACAGTACCTAGCTGCTTTTAACACAGCCACACCTGTTCCTGCTCCTTACAGAACTTACTTAACTTGTAGTGACCCTGGCACGTAAACCTGTTGAAATCCTCACTGTAAGTGTGATGAAGCTGAGGAACACAGCTGGTACCGTAGCCATGGAGATGGGGTTAAAACCTCTGTGTGTACAGAGCCCAAACCTCACTTCCTTGATGAAAAGTTGTTTGCAGTAATTGTATAATAGTTTTCAAATGTAATTTCATCATATTAGTAGTATCATTTATTTTTCTTCTAACTTAGGGATGCCATCTAATGGACCAGGTGAAATGGCAAACAAAGAAGAAGGAAAAGGTGAAGGGTTGCATGTTAATGGGCCAACAGGTGGACATAAGAGACCACTTCACACAGAGATGGACACCAATGGCTATGACGCAGATAACCTTACCACTGACCCAAAACTTGCTCATATGACTGCAAGAAATGAAAATGATTTTGATGAAAAAAGTGAGAGACCTGCCAAAAAGCGAAGGGTAAACAGCAATGGAAAGGAAAGTCCAGGTTCTTCTGAATTCTTCCAAGAAGCAATGTCACATGGAAAATTTGAAGAACTTGAAAACACAGATGACTAAAATTTAGACCTATTTTACTTTCTTGGAGTAATTCTGGTGTGACTAAAATTTTCAGGGTTGATGGGTTACCTTAAGTTGATTTCCTTGAAGCTGTTGGTTTAAACATGAAAATATGATTTGGTAGCAGTAAGAAATAAGATTTTATAATTCTGCCTTTTACAGGTTCTTTTACTTCAAAACTGGCAAAGACCCTTTTACGGATATAAAAAAGTTCAGTAAATTTGAATGAGCTAAACATAAATCCATACCTTCTCATCCTGATACATTGTTGTAAAATTTCACTACAAGGTAATTTTTCCTTTGTTTGATACGGAGGAATGAAAAAAAAGTTCAAATTTCTGTTTTACACTAGTTTTTCTTGAGTTTCTTGAAATGTCTTTGTAACGGGCATTTTTTGCTCTAAATTGAGTGTCATTATTAAGGAAACCCTTATGAATCCTGAAAGTTATGCTAGCATGATTTTTTTATATATAGAAGTTTAAAAATAAACCAAGTCAGGTTTGTATATGTAAAATTGTTGACATCAATGATGTCTTTCCATATTCTTATCTGGGCTTAAGAAATACATTCTGTATTTTTCCAGATTCTTTGTAGCCTTTGAAAGATTTTTACAAGTACATATGTCTTGACTGAGCTGTCCTTTCTTAATACAAAAAAGCTTGTATAATTTTCTTAACTTGTACAGTTGGTTAACTTTTATGAGAGGATTGATATTCTGAGTCTGTCAGCTTTCATTTTATTTTGCTAAGGTTTTTCTAATGAATTTTTAAGTGTTTGTGTAGTTAACTAAGTCATGTTTCTTATCCAGGTGGTAAAAGCATTCATAAAGGATTGTGAAAAAAATTTTTAAATTTCTACCTAAGGACAAATAGTTTGAAAATTCTGAAATTAAGCATGATCCTTAGATTGTACTGTTTTGGATTTACTATAATTTTCAAAATTATTTTTGAAGCAGAACTGAAGGTTTAATGTCAGCATAAGTGCTTCAGTGTGTCATGCTGACAAGAATCTTGTTCGATTATTTTTGTATGTATCATAAAACTTCCCATTTTTACATCAGACAACAGAGGCAAAGGTCAAGTGATACTTAGATACCGGCACATGCAGGTAGTCACTCTTGGCAGGCAGCGTATTGATTCTAGGAGGAGAAAGTGACAGAGTTTGAAGTTTGCAAACTGCCAATTACAGTCCAGTTCAGGTTGATGATGTTTTTCCAAAATGAAAATAAACAGAAAACCACTGCTTTGTATGATTACAGATATCATTATTCATCTGCATAGACTTGTAAAAGTGCCATTTTTAGTGTAAAATTCTTGTTAAAAAACATAATTTTATGCAGCTGATACCCCAGCCTATATCCAAACTTGTGAAAGATGATTGTTTTGTCAAACATACTCCCAGATGCTTCTACCAACTCAAATTTAGCCATCAGTTCAAGAGCCAGTGCCCCATGCCTGCCTGGCAAGCGCAAAGTCCTGAGTTTGATTCCCGGTACCAAGGGAAAAAAAAGAGCCCATGCCTTCTAAAGCAGTCTTGTGTGTAATGGCTCAGTGTCTACAGTGGCTGAGTCGAGGTTTGCACTGAAGCGTGAGGTTCAGGCTTGGCCCCACCAAGGATTAGCACTTGCTCTGACTGCTTCCCGTCCCAGTGGGCAGCCTTGTCCCCAGACAGTGTCAGTAGCTGCTGGACTCCTGTGATATGTGTGCACTGTTCCCTAAATGTCCAAGGAATCAAGGTTTGGGGTGAGGTATTGAAAAGCATGAATTTTTTTGTTTGTTTTACTTTAATTTATCCAGAATAGTAGTAGCTTTAGCATATGTTCACAATCCATATTCTAAATTAGGGTTTATTAAATGAATCCAAAGCATCCTAGCTTTTTTGTCAAAGATGGTCTACAGAAGTGTTTTAAAAGAATGGTGATAGAGCTGGGGATTTAGCTCAGTGGTTTCACTGCCTACTGCGCAAGCACAAGGACCCGAGTGCAATCCCAGGTACCAAAAAAAAAAAAGAATGGTGATGCTATACTTGTTAAATTGTTGTAATATGACAAATACCGTTTCACCTTTTTTAAAAGATGCATTTTCTTTGCTGGTTTGTGAAGGTTTTTTTGGTACCAGGGATCGAACTCGGGTCCTTGCACTTGCAGGGCAGGCAGCAGAACCACTGAGCTAAATCCCTGGCCCCGGTTTGTGAAGTTCTTGCAAACCATTGATACAGGAATGTTTTAAGTAAATTCTCAGGCGTGTTTGCAAATAATGGCACATGTATAAATGTTAGGAAATTTTACTTTTCTTAATCTTTTTAAAGTACGCATAATGAAAGACATCCCACTATTATAATATGTAATGCTCAGCTTTCCGTAAATATTTAATTGTACTTTGTTTTTATGCAGGTATTTCACACTTTGTTCTTCATAATGCAGCCACTATAACTTGATAAGTCATTGCACTATTTAAAAATCTAGGTAATATCATGAATTGAATTTGCTTAAGACTTAGTACGTTTCATAACTCTTGGCACACCACATTGGGAGCAGCAGCCTTGCTCAGTAGTCACTTGGTCCCCACCTCTCCCCGCCCAGCGGACCACTTGCGTTTTCATCTGGAACGGGGGTTCTGTTTTCTGATGTTTTCACATAGGTTTCATCATCTGCAACTCAGTTCAACACAGATCTGTTGAGCTTTAAAATGTATTTGAAGTACTATTTAAGTAGGCATTTAAAAGTATGAATTAGATGTTTTTAAATTTATGCATAGTAATTTTGCACTGTAAAATATTTTCCTTCTCCCATTCCCTTCTGCCACTCTGAATATGCTTATTAAAATATTTTTGTAAACATGCCTGTGTACATAGTGTGGTGTGAATGATTTTCATTAGATTAATTCACTAGGTTTTAACTATAGCTTTTCACATCTGTCTGAACCACATGATTCCCAGCGCAGATAAAATACAGTCTTGTTCCTCTGCAGCAGCACCTAGAACACTGAGTAGCTTTGCAGTGGTTCCTGATCTCTGGCGATGTATTTGTACTCCAAGGACCTCCATTCACCCTGTTTCTTTCCTTCTAAACTATGCAAGTAAAAATAATTTGTTCCCTTCTTTTGCAATGGAGTTCGTATCACATGCTATTTTACAAAATAAAACTTGTTTTGTCACAGTATTTGCTTTGCTGTCTGTGGATAGTTAAGTGTTCATTTCCAAAGCCATAGTCAGATGTGAGCTGCTGACCCTTGGGAGTGACTGGCAGGCTGTCACTCTCATGAATACCAAATGAGTAGGCTTTTCCCAACTCTTAATTCATACTCATCAGAAATGCCAGTGTGAAAAAGTGTATCACAAGAGGGGCGGGAATTCTCAAATTCTAATCTTTTATTCTGTCTCACTAAAAATGACTTTTCATTTTGTATGTCGTGATTTTGATGATTTGAATTAAATCATCAGCTCTGTTCTTTAATATCCAGGTTCATCATGTGCAGACTCAAGGGACTGTCTGCCCCGGTATGGGTTGATTTCACACATCTGTCTATCTGAAGGCAACTTCTCAGACCAGTTTCCCATACCCTCTTGCATGTGCCCGTAAATTGATGTTTTTCCTTTGGCAGTGCGACTGGGTTTTGTCATGGCTGTCTTTACACTAGCTCATATGATGTACATGAGGTAGATGTATTTAAAATTAGTATAATGTATTTTAAATGTCATTTTTCTTGCAAGCAGGAAGTAATCTGAGCGTCTGTAAAGCCTCTAATTCACCCACCGAAGAGCATGGAGCCTGTCTAAACTGAGGCCCAGTTCTCGTTCCCCTTGATCCAAACTGACAGCGAAGGTTTGCGTCCCACGTACCCTGGTACCCAGCAAGTGCTCGGCCCCAGAGCCCTGTCCCCTGTACCCGCAGAGCGGCCCTGCCCGGGGTGACGGCCGTGCGTCCGGGCGGGGCCGACGGGGGGGGGGGCGGGGCGGCACTCGCGGGACACCTGCCACCCGCCCAGTTCTGTGGAGAAGCGAACGCCAACTGCACTGCCCGGATCCGTCGTCGCACACCCAGGGTGATGCTCAGCTCTCTGACAGGGCCTGCCTGGCCTTCACACTGTCCCGTGCCCCTCTTTTCAACCAAGCGGTGGCCCAAAATTCGCACTTCACTCAGAATCCTGCCCACCAGACAACTGGCCACGCTTGCTGGGCGGGCGGGAAGTCCCCTCCCGAGAAGGCGGCGCCCCCGGGCCCATGCGGCGGGAAGCGCCCAGGCGGCTCGCGCTCCCTCGGAGGGCAGCAGCAGAGAAGCCCACTGCAAGCACCAGTGGCCGGGAAGCGACAGGTGCGTGAAGATTCTCCGTGAGCCCTCTTCACAGTAGCACCGCCCCGACTCCCGAATGACAGCTGCTGTCCAGCGGCCTGGACGTGCGTGCGTGCGCGCCCGCGCATGTGGTACTGCGGCGTGAACCGCAGCCCTCACACTAAGCTGCACTGCCCGGCTTTTTATTGTAGATCAAGATCTTGGCAAGCTACTAAAATGCCCACGCTGGGCTCACTTTTGACCCTCCTGCCTCAGCCTCCCAGAGTGCTGGGATTACAGGAGCACACCACCACACCGGCTTGCTGTCTGGAGTTTGTTCCCCTATTTTCCCAAGTCCCATCTCTGTGCTCGAGGCAGATGTGTAGTGCGGGGTAGAAAACCTGTTTGCAATCCAAATAGTCTACCTTTTGCCCCACAAGTCTGAGTGGAGAGAGGATTCCCTCCCACTGGGAAAGACAGGTGAGCAGGCTCTGCGACCAGGAGGTCGGGACGGAGCAGAAAGGTGCGCGGCCCCCGCGCCCCCCCCCCGGAGCGCAGAGGGCCGGGGCGGGAGTTCAGGCGGACGGCTTTCCTCCATGGAGCTGCTGCCTCCCCGCCAGCTGGACCTCAGTCATCCACTGCCATCCACTTTGGGGCACAGTGGGCGCTGAGGTCTGGGCGCTGCGGGCTGTGCGGGTCGGTGGGGACGCGGCTCCCCAGGGCAGCCCTTCCCGCTTGCTTGTGCGGAGGAGACCGCTGGCCCTCACGCGTCCTCCCGCGCCGGAAACCTCGACCGCATGCCCAGAGAGAAAGGGGCTTGAAGTCAAGGCCCGCGGTTAATCCGGGAGCGAAGCAGGCCTCGCCGGGGCCCTCGGTGCAGCGCTCGGGCCGCTCCCGTCGCGCACCGCAGAGGGCGCCCCCGGCAAGGGCAGACGGGCAGCCGGGCGCCGAGCGTCCACGGCTGAGCAAGGGCGCTGGAGTGCGGCCGACTGCAGGTCCCGCGTGGGTTCCGCCGCCCTGGCTGCTCTGTGAGCGCGACTGCGGCCGGCGGATGCGCGGACGACGGTGGCTATGGCTGCGGCCAGCCATCCCGAGTCGCGTGCGGTCACAGGGCTTTCTCAGCGGTGGCTGGACCTAGTGTGACGCTGGGATTAAGGGCGGGTGACCACTAACGCAGTCCACTGAGCGGCTGGGCCCCCTCCCTGAGCCCGGTAGTCTGGATAAGAGGTGCAGAAAGATGATGTTAAGGCCTCTTGTTGCTTTGCTACCTTCCATCCGCCATGAACTGTTTCTCCTCTGTCGAGCCACCCGCCAAAGAGCCAGCTGACTATGGACTGAGCCTCTGCAAACTGCGAGCTAAATAAACCTTCCCCTTTTAATTCCAGGTGTCGGGTATTTTGTCTCAGCAATGCGCAAAGTAAGATGGAAAGATGGATGGATGGACGGGTGGACAGACACGTGGAAGAAGGCATGGATGGGTGGAAGGAGGAGGGAGGGACACATGGACAGAGACCTCTCCACTGCAGCTATCTGACACCTGCCAACTTCACTGAGGGGACACAGTGTAGCTCGGTACAAAAGCCCTGGGTTCAAACCCCGGTACCACAAAAATAAATACATAAATAAAAGCTTTTAGAAGGAAAAACCAGATGGTGCACTTGGCAACGAGTTCTTGTAAATGCCACCAAAAGCAAAGTCACTGAAAGTAAAAGATAACTGTAGAACATCAAAATTTAAAACTTCAGCACATCAAAGTATATCAACAGGGAAAAAAGGCAACTTATGGAATAGGAAAAAATGTGCAAATAATGTATCTGAAAAAGGCTTAAAATCTAGAATAATATAGAGAATTCAACAATTTTTTTTTAAAAACCACCCTGAACTAAAAAATAAGAAGGATTTTAGTAGGTATTCTTTCAAAGAGGATGTATAAATGGCCAGGAAGCATGTACTATTCAGCCTTAACAAACTTTTGGGTGTGGTGCTACACGCCTGTAATCCCAGCACTTGGGAGGCTGAGGCAGGAGGATCGCCATGAGTTCAAGGCCAGCCTGAGCTACATAGCGAGATTGTCTCAAAAAATAAAAAATTAATTCTGACACACGTCACAACACAGATGAACCTTGACACAGTGCTGTGACACTACCAAGTGATGGGTGCCATGACTGCGCGTCCAAGGGACCCACAGCAGCACTGGGGCACAGGGACCGGTCAGGTGGATGAAGGCAGGTTTTGTTTCATGAGTTTCAGTTCAGCAAAAGGAAAGCGTTCTGGAGCTGGGTTGCACAGCACTGTGAACACACTTAACACTGCTGACCTGTACAGTGAGACACAGGTAAGTGTGAGTCTGTTGCTTTCTAAGCCTTTCTTCAGTGCTCTTGCAAGCTCCTCCCTCGGGCCTGCCTCAGCGCCCTTCTGCCCTGCACCCCAGGCCCCGCTGGCTGCCCTCGTGAGCGGGGCTGGCGGGTCTGGACTGCTGGAGGAAGGCAGCATGCAGCGTCCTGGGCTCAGCGGCAGCAGTGGCCGCAGCACCATCCTGCAGAGCATAAACGAGGAACTCAGCGTTGTCCCCATCAGCAGGGAGTCAGTGAGCCCGCTGCCACCCTGCATGTGAGCAGACCTGCGGCTCTGGGTTAGTCTCTGTGCATTTTGAAAGGAATTCCAACACAAGTTTCCAGGAAAAAGTATTTATTTGACACTATTAACAAAAATATTTAGGCACATAATTTTCATGTTTATGTCACCTGATTTACATAACTCAACCCTCAGTACCTTTAAAAAACAATAACTTGGTAAATAGAATAAATCTCTATTGAAAAAAATATCATGAGAGGCTAACATCTGTAGACAAGAATCAAGTTGGTCATCAGCATGAGAAAAAATGTTCATGAACAAAATCTCTAAAAATATTTTTCTGAGACAAATCTAACCAGTAGATTTCTTTTTAAAAAGTATTTTCAAACTAAAAGCCTTAATAAACCAAGAACACTGCAGAGAATTTCCTCATACAAGGACCTGGCATCCGAACAGTAAGAGCCGCCAGGGGGGTCTAGAGGAGAGTGCTGGTGCACTGGCAGCGGCAGTGAGACAGGAGGCCAAGGCCATGTGCCGTCCACTGTGTTACAGACTGGAAGAGGGTCTCACCTGCACAGGAGCTGCCTTAGGGGATGGCTGAGGAGTTTTGAACAGAATCACCACTGGGAAATGTGGGTCTTCTCAGAATTTTTTTTTTTAATGTACCGCCATAATACAAAGGTAATTCTTCTTTTAAAAAAAACAGGAAGAATCGCCTGCGTCCCACAGCAGCCACAACTATATCCGTAGGGCCCTGAGGAAAGACTTCGAACACAAACCGCCGTCCACACCCTGGAGGCGGAGAGGCGCCCGGGCATCTAGCACCTCCCAGGCACGATGCACCCCACTCGGCATCCCAGCCTCTTAGCGGTCTGTGCTGGGCGGTGTACACTCCTCGGTGGGCGCACTGGCCGTGGCGTCCGCCCCCAGGGCCCTGGTCGGACAGAAGCCGCCCGGGGCCCAGCTGTTCCCAGCTCACGCTCTGCCAGGGCCGC